AAAAAAAACATGTTGAGTACACATATTTTATACTAGGTTAAGTAACTCTTACTTCTGAGGAAAATGAAATCATGTAAGTTCCAGTATTCTCTCTGTTTTCTGTCTCTGTCTCTTTCTCTGTACCTTTTCTCTTTTTCATGACTCTTCCCAGTATATCTCTTTTTCCCGTGACTTCTCTAGGTAAATATGATGTGAAATATAATTGAGTTTATAACACTAATATTAACAAGAAAAGCAATTTTTTTGAGGCAATTGGGGTTAAGTGACTTGCCCAAAGTCACACAGCTAGTGAGTGTTATGTGTCTGAGGCCACATTTGAACTCAGGTCCTCCTGACTCCAGCACTGGTGCTCTATCCACTTAGCTGCCCTTGCAAATGCTTTAATAGAGATAATTCTTATCTTAAGGAGATAGTAGTTTGCACATTTGCGTATGCTAATATCTCTTCCTACCCACAAATCAATATATGAGTTCCTCAACTAACGTGGCCCTCATATGTCATAATAGTCCACAGGTTATGAAAGAATCAGGTATTCACTTATGGAGTTTGGTGGGTTTATGTTTGGTATTGAGAGAATCATCACCCCAAATTCAGTGAGAGCCCCTAGCTGGTTGGCCAGATCCAGGAATTCCAAAGCCAGTTGGCTTTCAGCAGCTGTGCCGCCACCACCCAAACTGTCATTCAAAACATACTTTTCCTTGGCTCTGTTTTCCTTATTGGTCTTTCTATCTTCATCTATAGGGTAAGCAGAATTCGTATAATCTCTCATTCCCCTTGGCTCCAAGAGCCTCTCCCAGCACCACCCCCAACTTCTTCTGATGGGGAAAAAAAATCTTTTCACTTTAACTCCAAGGTAGATGCCATCTTTCTTCTTTCCTCCCAAACATGTCCTGACTATACCATTTACCACATCATTCAGGTTTGGTGACAATCAGCTTTTTAAAATATCAATGGAAAAATTTTTATAAGTAAATTTTTAAAAAGAAATCATTAGAGAACAGATTTCTTGGATTAAAGATTACCTGATTATTGAAGTGAATGAAAAACCTGAGAAACAAAGTTTCTGGGTAATTAGTAATTTATTAATTAGGCTAGCAAATAATCAATAAATTGAAGTCCGTGGTTTCTCTCCTAATCTAAGACCACACATGCATGTTCAAATACCTTTGGAAAGGAGGGTGTCCCTAGAGGTGAAAATAAATTCTTATTAATTGGTTAACAATTGATGGGAGGGTGGACATATAAATGAGGAGGTGGACAAAAAGTCCTCTGCTGCTTGTGCTGAGGAACTGGCTTAAGGAGATTTGGATGCCTCAAGCTATTCCAACAAAGGGATGCATCTCTACCCAGACCACTTAAGTTGTTGAACAATGGGCCATAATTCAGATTCTTTTCACTTTTTTTTTTAAGGCAATTGGGGTTAAGTGACTTGCCCAGGGTCACACAAGTAGTACGCCTCAAGTGTTTGGTCTGAGGCCGTCTTTGAACTCAAGTCCTTCTGACTTTAGGGCTAGTGCTCTATCCACCGCGCCACCTAGCTGCCCCCTTTTTTCACTCTTTAATCAGAAATATGCTCTCCCAGTTGGGTGGGATCCTACCCAAGACTGCGGAGAATGTCTCATTGTCAGCCCCGTCCTTCACAAGAGGACTAGGCCTTGAATGAGGAAGTAAAAAGAGAAAAAAAACAAAACAAACAAAAAAAAAACCCCTACCAATAACTAATCTACCAATAATCGGTTATTATCAAAAAGAGGATATTTGGGTTCCATATATAAAATTTGTTACTAATAACAAAATAACCATTCTTCCCAGTATGCAAATGATAGGACACAGTATAGGCTTTTATCTTTTTCATTCTTTTGCCAAAGAGGGAGAAGAACTAAGAAATAAATGTTTGGGTAGGTAATAAAGAGCCTTTTGCCCAATTTGTAGATGAAAGGAAATTGTTAGGATCCCAATATGGGTAGCTCAACCATATGCTACATAATCTTCTGTTTCCACTCATTCCTGATTTCATGTGGTCTGTACTGTTGTAGCTTCCCTCCCCAACATGCTTTTGGTTCCATAACCTGCTCTTAGCAGGCTAAGATACAGATTATGCTGAAGCTTCTTTAGAAAATATATGGTGCATTTTCTTTTCTCTCTGTGTGACTATTCTCATTACGGAATCCACCTAAATTTAAGGTCATGTATATTTGTGAACTCAATAAAATTGTCTGCTGAAGAACACCTTGTTTTAATGTCATTTGCTGAGTGGAATTTGCTAAAATACAAATTCACTACAATGCTCTTTTTAAGGATCTAAACTTGGCAGACTCCAGCATCCTATGTGAAAGAAGTTTGTGGCCACAAAATAAGCCTTTGTGATGTGATAGTTTTTGTTGTTGTTTGAATCTCTCTCACTGTTTTTATGGAAATGAAACTCACCTCATGGAACCAGCAAAGCTCTATCACAGTGCAAAACCTCTTAGAGATATGAAAATCTCTCATATAGGATCCAAGACTGATAAACTTTGCATTTTGTGATAGTTGTGATAGATATATCTTGGCAGATTCTAACTTTTTTTAAAGAGAGATGTGTACTCATCAAATACAGAAAAGGAAAACTGATATTGATTTTTCAATGCGAATGTATTTTAATGCAGTAAAAAATACATAAATCGTTGTACATCAAAGTTGTGGATTACTTCAGTCATATAACTGCTTTTCATTAGGATATCAATTCTAATAACTTTTCTTTAAAACTCAGACAACAGACACACAAAAAAGTACTCTTGAAAAGAGAAGAGACACTAGGCTAAGCATCATGAAAAAGAGAGACAGACAGACAGAGACAGAGTCAGAGAGAGACAAGAAAGAGAGACACAGTGACAGAGAGAAAGACAGAGAATGAGAGAAAGAGACAGGAAAACAGAGACAGAGAGAACCTGAGAATTAGAATATGAAATTACTAAGGAAAGTACCTCTAAAAAATTTGAAAATAAACATAAACCCCTAGAGGAAGAGAAGAAAGTATATCCTTTAAGGAAATCAAAATCCTTCCCCTAGGTAGTTTGCCCAGGGTCCATGCTTTAATTGTTAACAATAAAATGCATAGGCACCATCGATACTTCAGATTGCCATAGTTGTCTAATGTAACCCCTGGGTCCTCAGCTCCATGCTGACATAAAAAAGCCTGGTATACCTTAACGGTTCTTTCAGTTATTGACTCTACACAGATAAACCAGGAGCTGAAATATGGTATACACCAATGACCAAGGCATTTTAGCCATGAGATCCCTAAATAGCAAAAGAGACTAAGATGCAACCAAGGTGACCTAGGCAGCAAATCTGAATCTAACCATTAATGTAAGTAATTTAAATTAAGTCCATGTAAGGGAGTGTGTGTGTGTGTGTGTGTGTGTGTGTGTGTGTGTGTGTGTAGGGAGGATTTACTTCCCCAGTACCTCTGCACACCAGGAAGGAAAAAAAAATTGTAGGCCTTGTATTAATTGTTCTTCATATATATTTTTTCTGCTCCTGCCCAGTCATTTGCCCTTGCAAGCATTCCCATATCTCTGTCAATTATAAAACTCCTTATTCACAATTCTCTTTCAATTGGCTGTATGATAAATTACAAGCTCTCTACTTAATTTCTTTTCGTACCTCTATAGGGACAAGTTATCAACTTTTCAAGGACTAAGCTATAATATGGAGAGGTAGAAGGACATTTGCAGCATGGTTTGCCAAAATCTGGTCTTTTACAACTTTGCTGGGCCTGATACCCTTTTACTGACCCTGAACGTAGTTTTATCTTTGCATTGCCAATTCATGCAGTTTGTCTTGTCACACAGGTATAGCCCTTTATTTTTGTTCATGGTACTAACCAAATACTTTAATTGTTAGGACAGTGACTATCTATGAGTTGTACAAATGGAGGTGGAGATTGAGTAGAGAAATGGTTCCTGAGGGAAGATGGGAAATGAAATTTGAGAATTACTATAACAGACATCACAAACCTGTTTTCCCCAAAACCTTTTCACCATTACTATGAATGAACAAGCAAGACATCATTAAGTTGTCTATATATCTTTTGAGTATGTGCCAACAACAGCAACAATTGAAACATTAAAAAAAAATATATTATCCAGTTGGATAGGTCAAATTAATTTAATTTGAATCAATAAACATTTGTCAAGTTTAACTTATATGTAATGCACTGTTCTAAATATTATGCATGTAAAAAAAAGAATAGGGTCAGACCTATTTTTTTTCATTTTAGTTTTGATTTTTTAGTGGGGATATGAAGGTGTGGGGGCCAGGGGTGGGGAGGAGAGATACAGCACGGACATAGATAAATAGATAGAAGATTATTTGAGGGAGAAGAGAAGTTTAAGGGTTTCTTGTAGGAAGGGGGCAACTTGTAAAACTGATAAATAAATTATCTATCAGGCTATCTCTATTATCTATGACTATGTGTGAGAGTATGCATACATATACATAGTGTTTGTATATATATCTTATATAGTATGTGTGTAGTGTATTTGTGTACACGTTTGCATATTTATACACACATATAACATGCATGTCTGATTTTTAGATAAGCTCTAGTTGTTGTTGGCATCTTGTCCTTTTCAAAAACAAATTTGCCCATCTTTCTATCTGTTTCTCTATCTATTCACCAATCCTTCTATCTATACGGGTACACATGTATAAATACACACACACACACACACACATATATATACAGGCATGCATGTACACAATGAAGCTATTAATTATATATAATACATATAAATACATATACATATATGAAGTTATATAAATTAATCTTAACTGGTTCAGTTCCTTTAATAAAATAATTAACATAATATACAAATATAGCATGGATATAATTAGTAGTACCTTTGGATTTAAGGTATATATTTATTATCTTGTAATGACAGTTCAAAATGTTTTTGTTTTTGGAGGCTTCATCCCTTCCTTAAATCTAGTAATTAGTTTCTTAAAGTTGACAAGATAATATAAAGTTAAAGGATTTATATAAGTTTCGATAAGTAATCCCTTTTAGCTTACAGATTTGTACTTTATCCATTGATTCACACCACGAACATCAAAAGGTGGATGTTTGGAGTAGATATGACAGCCTAATTCTTCTAAAGGTGGCTCTGGATCAGATGTAGCAAACTGGGCAGCATCCTCAACCTCTTTCCTTACTTCAATATCAATTTCCTTTAATTCTTCAACACTGGCAAGTTTGCTGTTCACCATCCTTTCTTTGTGAAGCATGATAGGGTCACTCTTACTCCTCACTTCCTGAACTTCCTGCCGAGAACGATAACTGATACCAGGGTCACTCATGCTGTGTCCATGATAACGATATGTCTGTAGTTCCATCAGTATGGGGCCCTTTCCCGATCTGCAGTGGGCAGCTGCAAATTTCGCTGCCTCACGGACACACAAAATGTCCATACCATCAACCCTTATTCCTGGAATATAGTCTCCTCTTTTGTAATAGTCGGTGCTGGCTGCTGCTCTCTCTACAGAAGTTCCCATTCCGTATCGATTATTCTCACAAACAAAAATACAAGGCAACTTCCACAAAGCTGCCATATTGTAAGTTTCGAATACCTGACCCTGATTAGCAGCGCCGTCTCCGTACAAAGTGAAACAGACTTCATCCTTTCCCGAGTACTTACAGGCCAGAGCAACGCCAGCTCCCAGCGGCACCTGAGCCCCGACAATGCCGTTGCCCCCGTAGAAGTTCTTGGCGTACATGTGCATCGACCCTCCCTTGCCTTTAGCGCATCCCCCTTTTCGTCCCGTGAGCTCGGCCAGGATTTCTCGGACGGAAAGTCCACGACCATAGGTAAAGCCGTGAGCTCGATAGGCTGTAATCACATGATCCGAAGGGTTTATAGCGGCCTCGATCCCCACACAACACGCTTCCTGACCGTCGTACAAGTGGCAGAAACCACGGATGATCTTTTGCTTGTACAGCTGATCTGCCTTCAGCTCCATCCGACGGACAGTCTGCATGTTCTTGTAATACTTGAGTCCTTCGTCTCTGGTGAGAACTGCTTGGACGGGAGGGCCCTCCTCAAGTCGATGAAGGGCGCATTTCTTAATATCAAACGAAGCTTCGCTTACAAAGGTACGGGCTGCCAACAGCACTCTTGCCGGTGGCTTTGGGGAGGCGCTCCTCAGCACGCGGGAAGCCACAGGGAGCATTTTCGGCAGGCAGCGGTACCCCGAGAGTGAGCGGCGGCGTCGGGGTGACCGTTGGCCGGTGGCGGATTGAACAGAAGGAACCGTGGCCCGAGACTCGTTCTAGAGCCCAGCGGCGGCGCGGAGTTGTTCCCAGGTTCAAGGGGCTATGGAAATTAATTTGAAATAGGGCCAGGATGCCAACAGCTAGTTATTCTCAAAATATCAGGCACATATTACCTACAACTCAAATTTGGCAAGTGGAAAAGCTATTTTGAGCCATATAGGAGGGAAAAAAAAATCTTTTCATGTACATTTGTCTTCACAATTTGGTTATAAGCTTTTTTAAAGAAACTTTACAAAGCTTTTAAAAGAACTCTTTTAATTATCCCTATATCTTTCATGATAATTGCCACAAACTCTTGCATTTGGCAGGTGCCCAGTTCTGCACTGGTCAGAATCTAGACAGCCTTTCTCTGCCCCATCCCAACTTCCCCACAAATCTGGGTAAAATAAAATTTGAATTTGTTCTAGAATTCTACTTTTTTGGGGGTATGTTTTTCAGTATATAACTCTCATTTTAAAGAGAACTGATTTTAGGAATGAGACCTATAATCAGAGGTTATTTCTATTTAGAGAAATAGGGAGTAGCATTTGATTAATTGACTGGTTTTACTTTTGTCTCTCTATATCCAAATCTTGACATAATGCTTAGCACATAATAGGCATTTGATAAAATGCCACCCCAGGACTCTTTATTGCTTCTAAAATAAAATGTAAACTGTTCTATTTAATTTTTAAGTCATCCATGGTAAAGCTATCTTTACAGATCAATGGACAGCAATCTCCCTTACGCACTCTGCAATTCAACCAAATTGTCCTCTCCTCTTTTCCACACAGATAGGTGACAGCACTCCATTGCCTGTCTCAATGCCTTTGTACTGGTCATCTTCATGTGTAGAATGTACCCCTTCTTCACTGACACAACATAAAATTGTTTTCTATCTCATCTCTTCAAGATGCAACTCAAATAGTTTCTTCTAAATGGATCTGCCTAATTTCTAGCACCCTCTCTCCCTCACTGCAATATTTAACTACCAATTTTTTGTTTACATTTATTCCCTTTGTACCTAGTTTTCATGCTTATACATTATATATATATGCATATATGTGTGTGTGTATATATATATACATATATATACATATATATGTATATATATATATATATATATATATATATATATATATATACTTGTTATGTCCCTCCATTTCAATGTAATTCTCTAAAGAGTAAGGATTGTTTAATTCCTTATACTTGCATCTCCATCCTTAGCTTTGTACCTAGCACACAGTAGATGCTTAATAAGTGCTTGTTGATTGATGAAGATAAATTTAGTCAATAAATATTTATCCAGTACCAACTGTGTGCTAAGCACTGGGAATACCGAAAGGGGCATAAGACAGTCCCTCCCCTCAAGGAGTTCACAATCAAGATAAAGGAACATCAAGGGCAATACCATCTGGAAGAGCTAATGTGGCCTTTGTCCTACTCCCATGAGTTACTGCGAGAATTCAGATTTCTTGGGAAAGGGCAGAAGACTCTTTGGCAGCCCCAACTGAATTTCCGTGTCACTAGTGCTCGTGTGCAAAGAAGGACTTTAGAAGGAAGGAAACATGTCTTGCAAGCTTTTGTACTGTGAGCCCTTCATGGTTTTACATTCTTTCTGCAGGGTGAAATATAAGTTATCATTTAGCTTCTAAATGAATTTGCATTAATGTTTAGATACAAGAAGAACCTCATGTTTCTCAGCAGGGGTAACTCAGAATATGGGAATATTTGTCACCAACTAGCAGATTTCAACCTGTCTATAAATTAGTAGACGAGTTCTAGAGATATGTCTGGGGCAGGAAGACATTAAATGATGACCTAGGTCACACAGTATAGGTCAGAGGCAGGATTAAAACATAGTTCTTCATGATTACAAGCCCAAAACTTGATCCATTACATCATAATACTACATTAAATAAATCCATACAACCACATACACACACACACACACACACACACACACAAATTGTCAATGAAATGGTGAATTAGAAAGGAAACAGTTAAGTACAGAAGTAAAATCTCTTAAGCAAGTTTGTTTGATAACGTTCTCATTTTTAAGATACATAAGGAATTACTTTATATTTATAAGAATAAAAACAATTTCCCAATAAATAAATGATTAGGAGAGAATAGGCAGTTTTCAAAGGAAGAAATCCAAGATACCAAAAGTTATATGGAAAAAAAAATCACCAGATCACTAACAGAGAAAAGTAAATTAAAGCAACTCTGAGGTTATACCTCATGCCTAATACATTGGCCAAGTTAACAAAAATGGGAAATAACAAGTGTTAAAAAGGCTTTGGGAAGAGAGGCACATAAATATAGCTGTGAATTTGTCCAGTTATTCTGAAAATCAGTTTGAAATTAATGCCTCGTCACCAAAATGTACATACCTCTTGACCCAGTTATCTTATCACTAGTCCTAAAACCCAAAAGGATCAAAGAAAGAAGAAAAGATCTATATGTATATATACAAAAATAGTTATAATAGCTCTTTTTTTTTAACTAACAAAAACTGGTAAAATAAAGGAGGACACATCAATTAGGGAATGGCTGAATAAATCACAACATGATTTAGTGGAATACTATCATGATAAGCTTGGTTTAGAAAAATCTAAGAAGGCTTATATGAATTGATGTCTGCATGAGCAGAACCAATTTGCACAATAATATTAAATAATATTAAAAATATCAACAACTTTGAAAGATTTAGAAATTTTGATTGATTCAATGACCAATGATGATTCCTGGGCACTGATGAAGAAACGTGATTCCCTATTTCTGACAAAAAAGTGATGGATGAAAGATGCAGAATAAGACACACTTATTTGGATGGAGGAATTGAGATTTTTTTCCTTAACTATATGTATTTGTTTCAAGGAGTTTTTTCTTTCTTTTTTCTTTAGAGTGAGTGGGAGGGAGAAAAGAATGTATTTTTTTAAAAGAAAGAGAACAAAAATATAATAAATAAAAAGTTTAAACAACCTAAAAAAAGTAGTTGGTATCATGATCACTTCTTCCCAATTGCTAGTGTCATAATATAAAAAAAGTTCACTTTGTAACAACTTACATCGGCAATCAACAAATTATGAATTATGCCAGTATCATTCTACACTAATCAATGAATGTGCTGTTATTCACAAACAAAATTCTGGCGGTGTTGGAGAGCTGGCGTCTTGTTAAAATATTTACTGTATTTAGGAATGCTGTTAATTTTCTATTCCATGTAGTACTTATCTTCATATCTTTCTGTATGGAAGGGATAAGTATAACACACTTTTTAGCACCTCAATTCCTTCAGGACCACTCATTTTCTCTGCTTTGCACTTTATCATCCTTATATTCAAAGGAAAAAAATAGCTTAGGTGTATAACAACTGATTCTGAGGTAGTATGACCTTGTTTAAGTCAAGTCTATTTGTCTTATGTAAGATTTGAGATGTTCCTCAAAAGCACTGTGTCTTTATAATAATTTAAATCTATCAAAAAGAATTCAAACGTCAATGATTTAGTAGTATGGTAAGAGGAATATCTATCTAGATATCATATCTACATACCTATCACTTAACATCTATCTACCATATCTCTGTCTCTCTCTCTGTCTTTCTCTGTCTGTCTGTCTGTCTCTCTCTTTCTCTCTCTCTCTCTCTCTCTCTCTCTCTCTCTCTCTCTCTCTCTCTCTCTTCTCTCCCTCTCTGCCCCCTCCCATTTCTCTCCTCATCCATCAATCTAATTTGACTAAAAACATAATTTGACTAAAAATGACACAGGAGTGTGACAGCAATGACAAATCTCGAACTTGGGAAGAAATAAGGAAAGACTCTTTCCTTGGAGGAACAATAATAAGTGGGGAATGTTGAATATGCTATCAGATTCAATAACTACATCTGTTGGTTTTGCTTAACTGCTTCCTTTTTAGAAGGAAAGGCTTACTGGTTAATAGCGGTGATGAATCCATAAGTGCCTATGATATAAAACAGAAGGCAGCAATATACCTTTTTATGTTAATTATAATTGGAAAGCTACAAATTGAGGGATGCTAGGTGGGGCAGTAGATGAAGTGCTGAGCCTTAGGTTAGGAAGAAGAGAGTTCAAATGCTTTCTCAGAGACTTACATACCAATCCTGAGCAGATCACTTAAACTCTGTCAGTTTGCCAATCCATAAAATAGATAGCACCTATCTCTCAAGGTTGTTGTGAGGATCAAATGTAATAACAATTGTAAAGTTTTTTTTTCAAACCTAAAAGTTCTATTGTAATTGCTAACTATTAACAGCAATCATATAAATTGAAGACTCCAATTGTTGTCACATAGAGAGGGAGAGTGTCTCATTAGTAAATATGAAAGCAAGATTTATAGGGACCAAAGAACACCTTTTTAGCATAGGCATTTTATTAACATAAGAAAATACAGTATTTTTATAGTCTTGGTCCTTAGTGAAGAGGAGGTGGCGCACAAGTATTAGAGTAAGCTACATTACTAGACTCAGCGCAGTATGATGGATTTTTTTACTCTAGTGGAAGACAAAACTTAAACAATCTGTCAAGCTATTATTTTTCTTTTTTAGGAAAAAGCAGGCATGTGTTAGGAAGAAATTGACTTGAGGAAGCTATAATACATTACAGGATGATCTAAGGCTATTTTTAATCACTAAAGTAAAGAGATAAAATACTCAAAATTAAAAAGAAATAAACTTTGCATTCCCAGGTGGTAAAATTAAAGGAGATTTTAGGAAACAAAGGTAAAATTTAAAACTACAAAGATTTCTAAATTTAAAAAAAAAAGTGCAATTTTACAAAGCATTTCAAGTCAAGAACAAAAAACAAATCAGGCCAACCAAAAGATAATTCAGAGAGCAGCTTATAAAATACTACAAAGTCAATAATAAGTAGAGTTTTATATACATCAGAGGTTGAAAACTACCCAGGAGATCATTTGATGATCAAGGCACAAAAGCTCACAAATGGAAAAAAAAAAGATAGCTTACAGATTAAATGAATTCTTTGCCTCGTTC